ATAACAAAATACATAGAAGAAGCAGACATTGAGCTGCCACAGAAAGAAATTTTCAGAATGCTACTTGGAGTCATCAATTAGCTAGGGTTTTGTGGAGAATTTTCATATCTCTGTTCAGGAGGGATCTTGGTCTATGACTTTATTTTAGGGTGGTGTCTCTGCCTGGTTTCCGTATCAGAGTTATGCTCAATTTACAAAATGAATTAGGGCGTGTTCCATCATTTTCTATACCCTGAAATAGTGTGAGTAGGACTGATGTCAACTCTCCTCTGAATGCTTGGGGACATTTGTCCGGTGAAACCAGCTAGGTCTGGCTGTCTTTGTTGTTGCGGGGAGAGTTTTTAATGACCTGAGGGATTTCTTCTTTAGGTCTGGGTCTGTTGAGCTGTCCGACTCCAGTCTGGGTTAGTTCACATAGCTAGCGTGTTTCTAGAAAACGTTCCATTGTTCCTACGTTTTTGTATTTGTGGGAGTACAATTCTTCATAGCAGTCTGAGTACCCTTTTATTTCCTTGGTTCTTTTGTGATGTCACCTGTTTCATTTCTTATTCGTGTGATTTGCATCCTCTCTGCCTCTTCTTTCAGTAGTTCTGCCAGTGGTTTGTTGGCCTTGTTGATCCTTGCAAAGAACCAACTTGTTTTGTTGATTCTTACTAATCTCTTCCCTGTTTTCTATTTCATTTATTTCTACTTTAATCTCTACTATTTCTTATCTTTTGTATCAGGGATTAGTTGAAGTGGGGACTGTGGGGGATATGTATTCATTACTTTTGCTTAATTGTTCTGTGAATTAGTATCACCTTTGAGATAAGAAAAGCATTCAAAATAATAAGTCTGAAGACAAAGAAATGCAGATCTGACTAAACTACTTTATCGGCTTAAAATATATCAAAAACACATCCTGTGTCTGCCCCTCCCAGTGATCCCCAGACTGACCCCCTTCCCCTTTTTCCAAAACCCGACTTTCCCTGCTCTGGCCCTCTGGCACCCAGACAGCCTGACCAACAGGTAGGGGCAGAGCCGCACTGTGTGCCAGGCTTCTCTCAGGGTCTGGGGAGGGACTCATACCGTCACTAACCTCCAGTGCCTCCTTCCCCAGGAGAAGCCCTCCTGCCCCATCCTCAGGAACAAACTGTCCTGGACCAGCTGTTAGTGTGTGGGCAGGACTTTCCTCCCCCAGTGTTCTGGGCCTTCATCTTGGGGGACACTCAGAGCTTAGAGAAAGATCTTTCACTATAGATGCCCCCAGCCCACCTGATGCAAGGCCTCCTCTTGCCCCTTATGTCCATCTTCCAGCCTGGATTATCCTGGATTATACAGGACCTGCTCTAACACCTCCCATGGCTCCCTATCAGCCACAGGATAATCCCATGGTCAGCCGGAGCAGCAATCAGGGCCCTGAGCTCAGAGACACCTGCAGCCACGCCCACGTCCAGCTTCCCAAGGTCTCCAAGCTTCCCTGTGGGTTCCCCGGGGAGACTCAGACAGAGGTCACAGCCGATCTATTCCTGGGGGTAGGCTAAAGTAGGTGGCGGTGATGGGGGTGGGGAAATCATTGTGGGGCTGCTTTGAGCGGCTCCACCCACAGCCACAGGCCGCCCTCGGC